CATTTAGTCTTCATTTCTTTAAAAATTGTTTTCCTCCTTTAATCTCTTCTGAAAATATATTTCTTTGACTGTTTTCTTCACTTCTTTTCATTTGTTTGGAAATACTAGGTTATAGTTTTTATCTGTGTTTTTTTTGTTTTTAACTTTTTATTGTGATTTCTTTTACATTTGACAAATCGTACACTTTGTTTCATCTCAATGATTGCAATCCCCTCCATAGAATGATAGTTATCCTGCTTTCTCCCTGTGGCTCCTGTTTCCCTTCTGTCCACCTTCCCATCCCTTCTCACCTTTGTCTTTAGGTATATATTGCCCTTTGGTTTTGAATGATTGACCAGCCCATCATTCCTAGTGAACACACCTGACTAGTGTTGTTGTTTCCTATATATACCTGTCGACTCTTTGGCTGAAAGTTGGACCATGAGGACGAGTCCTTTCCAGACCTGAAGGGTGGTTAAGGTCCATTATCTCAGGTTCCTCCCATCTCTTTCTGAGCAGTACGCCAGGTCTTTTTTTTTTTTTAAATAATTTTGAGTTTTGTTCCACATGTTCTGCTCTGTCACGGACCTTCTAATGTGATCCCTTTCAGAGCAGTTGGTAGTGAGTTGCAGCTGGGCACCATCTACTTTTTCTGGTCTCAGAGTCACAGAGACTGATGTTCACATGATCCATTAGTTTGTTGGCTAATCGATTCCAAGCATCTTCAGTTCTCCTCAATTATCTTTCTTCTGCACATGGAGGGACTAATAGCTAGCTTTGACCTGTTTTGTTGTCTTCTCTCTTGACATGTTTTTAACATTTTCCAGGATGTTATTTTTACTCCCTTTTCTTATAAAAACTTTGGATTTGATCATGAACTCGATGGTCTTTACAGTAAATAAGTTCAAGTAGTGAAATAATTTTCTGTACTTTTAGGAAGGAAGTGTAAGCCAGAATAACGTTTACGGGTTTTAGAGCTCCTGCATCTGTGTTTGCAAAGTTATAAATTGTATAACTGTATGCTATTTAAGGTCTGGCCTCTCTGCTTCCCTCATTTACTTTTTAAAAGCCCTTTTTTATTGTGAATTAAGTGACAGTTTACAGAGCAGATCATCTGTTCCATCTCCTACAGATTTTACACTCTGTTTCATGTTAGTTGCCTCATCTACTTTTTTTTTTTTATTAATGTTTTATTTTGAATTATATGATAGTTTACATGGGAGAACTTTAGTTTTACATTCATTCCATTGTATATCATCTCACTGCCATGGTTCCAATCCCCTCCATGCATCATCAACCACCCAAAGGGTATATCCCAGAAACACGTCCCCTACACTTCCCCCTCCTCCCCCCAGTTTTCAGCCCACAGTCCCTTTCCTTCTTGGTCCAAAGTTCCCAGTCGCTTCATCACTCCACGTCATCATCTCTGTCTCCATCTCAGGCATCTCTGTTTCTCTTGGTATGGTCTCACTCTCGGCTTTTCTCCATTGATGGTCCCAGAGGCCTCCGCTCCTATCCTGGAGATTTAATCACTCCCTTACTTGTTACAAAACTTCTACCTTTGCATTTCCAACCCTCATAATCCATCCTGATAAGCATTATTCACTACAGTATCACGAGTTACCCATCTGTATCTCCTTTCATCAGCTCCGCCCAGACAGATTGAATAGTACCTACTGGAGATTCTGCCTTCCGCCATGCTCCGTATCACTAGGTTCCCTCTTGAAAGCTTGTAAGCCAGTCACTTCTTGCCTTTGTAGTCCCCCCCCTCCCCATTTGAGTATCCAGTGTCCAAGCTGCCCTTCTCTGTCCACTCTGTGTGTGTGGATGTTTCTTGCTGTGAGGATTTGTTCCTCTTTTGAGTCTCTGCTCCATAGGTATAGGTCAAGTTCATCAGACTGTATCAGCTCACTCTTTTCTTTTTTTTTTCCCCCTCTTCTTTCCTCTCCTGGTGCCTCATCTACTTTTACCTGGCCCTTCTTGATCCTCTGCCCATATTGTCCTACCCCGCTAAGTGTGGCCTTTATAGCCAGCATCTTCTCACTGTGGGGCTTTACCTTGGACGGGACCTTTGGTTGTCCCTTTTGAATGTTTATAGACCCCAAGCTTCTTCAGCTCTATTACACTGCCCTTCCTACTCACCCAAAGAATTGGATGCTGCGGCTCCCTCTTTAGTTTTGGTATGAATTCCAGTAAATGCCTGTTGTTAATTTTGCATTTCTTCCATTCTTTGGAGAAATCCAAAATCAGAAGTCTATTGCTTGGTCTCTGTTTCTCTGTTTTATTCTCATACAGATGCTGAAACCATACAGAAATTTGTCCTTACTCATTACAAGGTTGGCAGTTCAGACCCAACAGCATCTCCTTGGAAACTCTATGCAGGGTCGCTGTGAGTCGGAACCAACTCAATGGCACTTAACAACAACAATTTTTATGAAGGAGCATGTGACTCTGTAGGATAAGCACTGGACTGCAATCCACAAGTTGGCAGTTCGAGTTCACCAGCTGCTTTGAGGGAGAAAGATCAGGTTTTCTGATCCCACAAAGATATTTAGCTTCTGAAACTCTATTCACAGTTGCTATAAGTTGGAACTGATGTGACAGCAACAATTATGAAAGGCTTTGAGGAGTTTGATAACTACACATTGCCATTTTCTCACAATCTTCCATAAGAACTCTTTTTTTTTTTCTAATGAAAATAGTAGTCAGACATGAATTAGGGGGGAAATAAAATGAGAAAGCTGTTTGATGACCTTTTGTAAGAGGGGCCTTCAAAAAATGTATGGAATAAAAAGATAATGGAATATTTTCATGGTCTTTTTGAAGTCCCTTTGTATTTCAACATTGCACAGATTCGTCATTTTTTTCTACAGAGCTGGCCGTTATAACAGTTTTATGAACGTCACTGAGATGTTGTTGTTGTTGTTATTGTTAAGTGCCGTCGAGTCGGTTCCAACTCATAGCGACCCAAACAGGGTTTCCGAGGCTGTAAATCTTAATGGGAGCAGAACGCCTCATCTTTCTCCCGCGAAGTGGCTGGTAGTTTCGAACTGCTGGCCTTAAGGTTCGCAACCCGATTTGTAACCACTGAGATGTAGTTGTCTGGTATTCTGGGTGGACATGGGCCATGCATGTCTTTCTAGGCTAGTCACATGAAGCAGGCTTATTTGGAAGAAATATAAGTTCCATGTCCTTAGATGCCTTAATTGCATCAGCGGTTTTGTAAAAGTTGTTCTCAGAATGGTGCATCATTAAATGTTAATTCTAGCATGTCCGCTGGAGATCATCTGGCTGAAAAGTATGCCAGGAACATGGTGATGGGTTTTAAGGGTCTGTGGACCCATTAATGCTGCATACAATGGTTGTATGTTTGTACACATGGACCTTTTTCTGAGGGAAATGATGCAGAAAGCATCAAAAGGAGATGGAAGAGTCACTGTACCAAAACCAGTTGGTTGACATTCAACCATTTCAAGAGGTAGCATGTGATCAAGAATTGATGGTATTGAAGAAGTCCAAGCTACACTGAGGGAACTGGCAAAAAACAAAATTTCAGAAATTGACAGAAAACAAATGGAAATGTTTCAACAGACTGATGTTGTGCTAGAGGTGCTCAGTTATCTATGCCTAGAAATTTGGAAGACAGCTACCTGGCCAAGTGATTGGAAGAGATTCACATCTGTGCCCATTCCAAAGAACAGGTGATGCAACGTAATGTAAAAATTATCAATGTCATTAACATGACATTCAAGTAAAATGTTGCTTAAGATGATTAAAAAATGGTATGATTCCATATCACATACTTTGGACATATTATCAAGAGAGACCAGTACCCAGAGGAGAACATCATACTTGGTAAAGTTGAGGATCAGTGAAAAAGAGGAAGCCCCCCCAGAGAAGTAGATGGGGTCACACAATCGTGAGGACGGTTCCAGACATGGAATGTTTTGTTCTATTGTACATAAGTCACTGTGAGGCAGAACTGAGTTGATGTTACCTAACAGCATAACCCGAGGACCTCTGATAACATAAAGGGTTAAGGAATCTACCATCCACTCCATGGGAGAAGGTTAGGTTTTCGTCTTCCATAAAGATCAGACTTTCTGCTCTTGTAAAAATAAGGAGTCCTAGTGTGGCTCTGTGGGTTAATGCGCCAGACTGGAAAGCCATTTCAACTGCAAAGTCGGTGGTTCATGCTCACCAGCCACTCCTCAGAAACCCTATACAGGGTCACTACGGGTCAGAACTGACACGATGGCACTTAAAAACAACAACAAAGGTTTACAGCCTCGAAAGCCTGTATAGGGTTGCTAGGAGTTGGAACTGACTCCAGGGCACATAACCACCACCACCGTCACCGCCGCCGTTGCCGCAGCCATGACCCCATTGCCTTTTAATTAAACATCAAGAAAGCACAAAAACTGACGTGACTTACCAACTTGATGGCACCTAACAACAACAGCAAACCTTGTGGCTAGCCTGTGTGGTGCTATAGAATAAGCACTGGACTGCTCACCACAAGGTCAGCAGTGTAAACCTAGCAGCTGCTTCTTGGAAACCTTATGCAGGGTTGCTATGAGTCAGCACTGACTCCATGGAACTTAACAACAGTCTGCTGGATACTGATACTCCCAGACCTATACGTACTTAAATGAGGGTTAACAGGCCATGTTCTTCTTTCATATTCACTCATAATTCTTTTAAGTACCTTTGGAAGTTGCTTCCCATGCTAACTTCATTTTATTACAGGTGAGGAAATTAGAGAGGTTAGATAATTTGCCCCAAGTCACACAGTGAATAAATGGCAGAGCTGGGCTTGAACCCAGACATTTTGGTTCTGGTGACTTACATCCTTATCAACCATAGTACATGGTTCCTCCTAGAAGACCTAGTGGGCTGCCATGGAGCCCATAAACTGTGCCCGGACTTTGTGAGGTAGAATGTGGACTATGGAAGTGTTCTTATAAAATACATGAAGCATTTTTATATTGATGTGGGTTCTTTATGATCTGTTTTCCTAGCATGCAATGATGTTGCCTGTTTTGACTCATCATATCCGCTACCATCAGTGCCTAATGCATCTGGATAAGTTGATAGGGTATACTTTCCAGGATCGCTGTCTGTTACAGGTAAGAATTATGTTTCTGTAAACTTCCACAAAAGCAAGATAGGAGCTATTTGTCTTGCAGGTTACAAATAGCATACTGGGTTTTCTGCGCTGGGAGGAGATGAGAGTTTTGAGAAACAACTCTATTACTCTACTCTGGTTGCCGCTACCACTTTCAAGCCTCCCTTTTTTGTGGGTGAAGCTATTCATAAAGAAATAGAGTATCTAAAATTTATCTTTTCAAACTCAGCCCCCTCAGCTTTGCCTTCTCTAAGGCTCTTGTTTTTAACTGATAAATATTCAAATTCACCACTGAAAGATGATGATATTTAGAATTGTTTTCAGTGGAGGATTTATACCAGAGCCCTGGAAGTCAGACACAAGAGGAGAGAAAAGAGAGCGTGAAACCAAACCTGTTGCCATCGAATCGGTTTCTACTTCTAATCACCCTGTAGGGCAGCGTAGGACTGCCCTGTGGGGGTTCCAAGGCGCTAAGTCTTCACGGAAGCAGACTACCACATTTCTTTCTCCCATGGAGTAGCTGGTGTGTTTGAACTGCTAACCTTTTGGTGTGCAGCTAAGTGCTTTAACCGCTGTGCCACCAAGTCTCCTGAAATGGAAATATCAGGGTTGGAAGTACTGGTTGGTAGACAGATCCCCTTCCTGTTTCATTTGGGGCGATGAGAAAGAAATGCTTACCTTCTTTAAGAGTGAGGTTCTTGCATTGCCATTTCAGCTGGCCATGACTCACCCAAGTCATCACTTAAATTTCGGCATGAATCCAGATCATGCTAGGAACTCTTTGTCTAACTGTGGGATCCGGCAACCCAAATACGGCGACAGAAAAGTTCACCACATGCACATGCGGAAAAAAGGTATGTCTCGATGGTGCTCAAAGGTTCTAGTTTTGTGTTTTGGGCCTGCATTCCCTATCATTGTAGATCATATCCTCACTGGGACTGGTTCCCTGGGACACTGCTTCATCCTGCATTCTTCCAGACCCATAAGTAATAGTACTCACTCTGAGCAGAGTATTAGAATAAGGGTAGATTAACTGATTAGAAAAGTTTCTTTTACCTGTGGAGTCTTCTCAATGAGTTTTCCACATTTTTAGACATGCAGATGTTAAACCTTTTAAAGTCAAATTGGGATAAGATAGACAGTTTTATTTCTGTGTTTGATATGCTGATCCTAGAATGCCTCTCCCAGTATTTACTTGTATATTTGACTCTTGTTTTTCTTTTTAATAGGAATTAACACGTTAATAAATATTATGTCCCGCCTTGGCCAAGATGACCCAACTCCTTCAAGGTGAAGTAGATTTTTGTTAATAGCTTTATTGAGATGTAATTCATGTCTTGTCAGATTCATCTACGTGAAGTGTGCAATTCAGTGATTTTTTTTTTTACCCTGTCTGCAAAGCCCTGATACCATCACCACAATCAGTGTTAGAGCATTTTCATCACTCCAGAAGGAAATTCCACACCCATTAGCACTCATTCCCTAGTTCCCTGCAACCCACCCAGCCGTGGATGGACACCTTCCAATCTGTTTTGAAATTCTGGATTTGTTTATTCTAGACACTCCATATAAATGGGAGCATACATAAGTGGTTCTTTCTGACTGGATTCTTTCACTTAGCATACCATTTTCACGGTCAAATTTATGGCATACTGTTGTTGCTAAGTAGGTTCCAACTCGTAGCAGCCCTGTCAATGTCTCCAGGAGCAGAAAGCCTCATTTTCCTTCTATGGAGTGACTGGTGGGCTTGAACTGCTGACCTTCTGGTTTGCAGTTCAGTGCTTCTCCTACAGAGCCATTGTATTTCTTTTTATTGCTAAAGAATATTACAATATTTTATCTATCCATTTGTGTGTTTTCACCTTGGAGCTACTATGAGTACGACTGCTGTGAATTTTCAGGGATGTTCAGAAGTAGATTCCTTGGCCTTTGTTCTGAGGAGCCTTTGGATGGATTTGAACTGGCCCCCTTTTGGTTAGTAGCTGAGCACCTAGAGTAGTGTGAAAAGTGACAGAGAGGGCTGAGAAAATTGCCTCATTTGCTAAGTGTTCTCTGGAACTAGGACAGTTGCCGCCCGCCTCAGCCCACATTCCTTTTCCACCTTTGACTTCATATGGCATTGCCTGGCCTTCTCAGCTGACCTTGATTTGCCCTCCTTTGAGGTTCTCATAAGCCAGACTATCTTTTCTCTTCAATCTAGAGGTAAAAAGAAAGATAGGACAAAACTAGAAAATTGAGGTTTGAAGATGGTCAGTCATCAGCCTCTGAGATCCAGAAAGAATTGTCTAATTAAAACCAATCAGAAATCCACAGCCTCCTTGCCATCGAGTTTCCTCCGACTCAGAGTGACCCTGTGGAGGTTTTCCGAGACTGTAAAGCTCTATGGCGGCACACAGCCTGGTCTCTCTCCTGCAGAGCTGCTGGTGGATTTGAACTGCCATGCTGCAGTTAGCAGCCCAATGCCTAACCCCCAGCGTCACTAGGAGTCCTTGTCTAATGAAAAGAACCTTTGCTTACACCCTCAGGGTTGGCATGCTCATGGTTTTATGTTAATGTTGCATTGTAGAGTCCAGATGGCCAGTTTGGTATTTTAGTAAATGAAATTCAGAATACCAGTCAGCTCTTTTAACACAGTTGCACACATTGTGGGTGCTTACTTTTCAATTATGCAAACAGTTGAAATGCTCTTGGTCTCATCTACTCCAATCAAAGCTTTGGGTATTTAAATGTTGCCTGTCGCTAACACTGTTCAGACCTCATGATTTATGTTTTCTTTTGCTCTGTTACAAAGGGCCAGCTTTCTGGGAGGCTGGGCTAGTTCTGAGTTTATGATAATGAAAACAATCTCATTGACAGAGAATAAATAGAATTGTCCTTCCTGCTCTTAGATACCTGGCCTTTGCTGCTGTGTGGAGAACGTCTGCTGTTCATGTGATCTTCTAGCTGAGGCAGAATGACCCCAATTTTTCACTCAGAAAACGCCTCCCAGTCTCCGCTGCCGGGGTCTGCACTGTTTGACTGCTGTTGGCTAGCTGTCTAGGACTGTGCTGGGCTGTGCTTGAGAAGTTCCATTCCTGTTTCATTAACCGACATGTATCTAGACCCCCCCCCCCCACTTGCACTTCATGGCAGTTTGTAGGTACTGCAGGAGACCTAAAGGCAAGGCAGAGAAAGCCCCCATTCTCCCAGACCCACCACCTCACTGGGATGGGGTGAGTGTGCAGCAAACGTACGTAGCTTAATAGAAGGAAGATTCTGCTAAGCGCTTCAGTGAAGGCTCCAAACCACAGAACTTCTGGGGGGGGAGGGATAAAGCTAGGTGTGAAGGTTAGGGATTAGTGCACACTTTTATACTGTGCACTTGAATAATTGGGTTCACTTGAAACAATTTGCCCTCTCCCCTGCTTGTTTCTTAGTTTGCTGTTGTAAAATGGCATGCAGTAGTCTCTTTCCTCTTTGGTGGGTTTGTCTACCTTTGAAACAGGTGCTATAAAACTGCAAGAATCAGTCATTCTTTCTCTACCCCAAGTACGCTTGCTCAGAGTTTTGAAACTCTAGAAGGCAGAGAGGAAGTGAGTAAAGGAGAGAGGGAGAAAGAGAAGAGGAGGGAGGGAGGCAGAGAACACAGAGAAGGTGGTGTCACTGAGTTGGGAGGTGAGGAGCCAAGGGAGGCCAGCGGCCAGGGAAGAGAGCTGTGGCTCTTGGCTAAACTTCTCCACCACTGTCCCTGAGAACCATCCTTCTCCAGCCCTACAGCAGACAGTCTCCACAGTCAGTCAGCTGGCCATTTCTGGTACCTCCATTCTAGGTCTTGGCGGTAAGCTGCTTGAAAGCATTGTGGGACGTCTCATTTTCCCCATTGCCTGAGAGGACAGTCCGAATCTTCCTGTAGGCAATCCCAGCTCTCAGGACCTAGCCCTAGGCCCTGCCCACTCTCAGTTTTTTCTCCATGTGACTCTTGGTTCACTAGTAAGACTCAAGTATTTCCTGGTGTCCTCTCCCTTCCCTGAATGCTGTTATTCATTGACTATTAGCTCTGGGATGCCTCTCTCCTCCTTTCTAAATCCTGCCTCTATTTGCCTATTTTACGTATTCCAACTCTCCCTAGCATTATAATTCATTGTGGTGTGGGCTGATTTTCTTTACTGTACTGTAAGTTCTTTGAAGGTCTATGGTCCCATTCATTAACTATTTTCCCTTTACTTTTGCATTGACTACAAATAAGTATTGAATGAAAGAACACCACTTATAATACTACTGTTATTATTCAAGGTTATTTAGTGACTATGAAATAGAGACACTGAGGCATTGCGAACAGTCCTGGTCAGAGCCATCGGACTGATTCGTATTTTACTTACCTGATTTGGGAAGAGTTAGGTTAAGCACTGGACTGCTAACCACAAGGTTGGCATCAAACTCACCAGCCTATTCCTTGGAACTGCTATCCAGGGTCGCTATGAGTCGGATGGTGCAGCAGCAGCAGCAGCAATGGGATTTACAAAGGGAAATTGAAGCTCATCTTCAATACATAATAACCAGTGTGCTTATCAAAACTTCAAAAAGATGAACTTTTATGATAGCTTCATGAATATTAACTCTCAGGTGACTATTACTGCTGAGTGCTGTGCAGTCGGGTTCACCTCACAGCATTTCTGAGGAGCTGTTGGTGAGTTTTAACCACTTACCTTGAGGTTCAAACCGACATTATAGTTCTAATGCTTATCCTGCAGTGCCAAACCAGGACTCTTTCAAGTGACTACGCCACCCATAATTTAAAAAAAGATGTGTAGTTATTTTGACGTCATGCAAATTGCGATGAAGTGTTATCATACAAACGGCCCCTCCTCCTTGCATTACCAGTAAGACCTTCCAGAAACAAGTGCTGGGGAGTGATAATGGAGACTGAGAGGATCTGACCGCCTCCTGTTCCTTTGTCCTTCCTCTCTCCCTCCCTCTTCCTTCCCTTCCTCCTTCTGTCTCTCTCTTCTTTCTTTCTGTAGTGTTGTAGCTATACATTTAAGAGTCTGTTGGACCAAGAGAGAGACATGTGTGGACTACTTGGTAATGTCTGTATACTTAAGGAAATGGTTATTGCAAAGTATCTTTTCATCAATTATACATAAGTGTTTTGCATCTGAGAAAACCATACAATAACAACATGCCCCAAATAATTGTGAATTCCACTGGATGGCTTTTTACTGACTTAAATGCTTCAAGTTAAATCCCCGAGGGGTTTAAACTGGACTTCTGAGGTCTAATGCCTCTGTTGCACCCCCTGCACTCCCAAGGCCACACTAGCTGTAAGGAGTATTAGGAATTCCGGAACTGGGAGGAACCTTTAACTAGTTTCTAAGGCACTTTCAGATCTACTATTCCAGCCACTACTTGGGACTTAGAAAGCAAATATTGTCGGTCTCTCCCTGCAAGCAGTTACCCTTGAACCTGGCTCTTCCCACAATGGCTTTCCATAAAGTAAATGGTACTTTGCAGAACTTCTTGTTACAGGAAGATGTTTGTATTTTATAAAGTGCTTTGAATTCTTCAGACAAAACGTGCTGTATAAATGTTATAGTTAATCTAGATTTCATAATGCCTCTATGATGCAGTTCTCAGAAGCAAATGGAGTGTTTATTGCTCAGTAAACATCTCATCCTGGAGCTTGCTAGTATTTATAAAGAGGATGATTAAAGAAAGTATAAATACTGGATGAAAGAACAGAAGAGTTGCTAGGACTGTCAGTGAGGCCTGACGGTTCACTCTGTCCACTTTTCCAGATGAACTGTTGGATTATGAACTGCTCAGAAGAATAGTAAACTAAAGTGGTATTTTATCCCCATATTTCTTTGGCTTATTGAGAGACTTTAGTCATAATGTAGATAGAGAAAAACGTTTTCTGGGTCTGAGCAAACTGTTTAATAGCTGACAAGCTTCCTATCGACTAGACCTGTTTAGAACCCTGACCTTGCATTTTAACAAACTGATTAATATTCTGTTGTTTTTGTTGTTGTTAAGTTTTGTTGTTGAGTTGGTTCCGACCCTTAGCGACCCTGTATAGGATTTCCAAGGAGCGGCTGGTGAACTTGAACTGCCGACCTTGCAGTTCAATCAGCTTGCAGTGTAGTGCATTAACCCACAGCGCCACACCAGGACTCCTATTCTACCTTGTTGTTGTTGTTGTTGTTAAGTGCTGTCAAGTCGATTCTGACCCATAGCGACCTTGTATAGGGTTTCCTAGGAGCAGCTGGTGAGCTTGAACCACCAACCTTGCAGTTCAAATGGCTTTGCAGTCT